ATATATATATATATATATATATATATGGTAGTTTTGTATTTTTTTATTTTTGTTTTTATATATATTTAAATTCAAAAATAATAACCAATAACTAATTATTAATTAAAAATAACTACCAATTTGAATGGGTAGTTATTTTCTTATATATTTATATTTTCGTTTTTTTATTATAGTTAATTATAAGATATCTTTTTTTATTTTAATTATTTTAAAACTTCAACTTGAAACTATTGCCCGATTTGAATGGGTAGTTTTTCTTCTATTTTTTTCCGTTTCTTATAGCTTTATTTTTTTTTTGTTTTTTTATTTTAAAATAATTTAAAAATTCCAAATTGAAACTACTCCCACCCAATTTGAATGGGTAGTTATTTTTTTATATGTTTGTTTTTTATTTTTTTTATTATAGTTAATTATTAATATAAATATAGATAAGAAATCTATATTTATTAATTAAATTAAAGTAACCAATTAATATATATATATATGATAGTTTTTTTAATTATTTTCATTTTTTAGATATATTTAAATTAAAAAGAATAACCAATAACTAATTTAATAACTAATATATGTCATGTGTCATTCTATTGTTGTGTCATTTGATTTCATGATGTGCTTTTGTCTTCTGCTTTTAATTATAGATAGATTAGTTAGTAAGCTCAAATATGCCCTTTTGTTTTTGTTTTTCTTATTTCCAATTTCCTCCTATAAACTTAAAATGTCAAATGTCCATTCTTTCACCATTTTAATCCAAAAACTTACTGGAAATTTTAACTGTAAAAAAACTTCAATCAAACAGATCTATTAACCTTATATTTAAAACAGAAGAACCAGCAAATTAAAAGGAAAGTAAATGTAACTGCATTAAAGCAATTTCGAAACTATTTCTGTATTTTAGTTTTTGGTATTTTGAGGCTCAGATCTGTGATTAGATCAGGTGAACGGAAACAAAGCAACCGCCATGGCTGCAAACCTCAGTTTCACTATAATAAAATAGGTCTTCCGGGTTGCCCCGCCAAGATACGGGCCGCTCCATTGACCCGACGCGAACTCTAGACAACACCTTAATCATCACAGCCTCTCATCCGTTACAGTAACAATAAATCACTAAATTGGACCGGAGGGAGTAATAATAATAATAACAATAACGAAGATGATGAGGAGGAGGAGGAGGAAGCAGAAGGTTAGATCTGGCAACTTTAGCTGTCTCCGTATATATACATATATATATATATATATATATATACACACACACGTGTGTGTGTGTTTTTCAGATCTGAAGCTTAACCAAACAGACCCTTAAGATGAATGGTGGTTTATTAATGCCGCGTTTGGTGAAAATGGAAAAGGAAATCATAGGCAGAAAACAGAGAGAGGGCAACCACCATTAGAGACTACCTCTCTGCTGCATCATTCTTTCCGTCTAGAGTTCATTCACACTGAATCGGTTTCGTCGCGAAGAGGATATTTATAGTCGTAACCTATGGTATTAGGAATTTGCATTTATGACCTTAATTTTACCTGGTATTTGCAGAAGCTGAAGACTGGATTGATACAGTTTGTAAGGGTAATTTCGTCAGTCTAAGCTCAAACTTATCCTTGAAACTTTTAGTAGGTTTTATCTTTGCGGAATTTTTTTATTTTGAGTTTTTTATCATGCTCGATAATTTTAGGATAAAAGATCAAAAATGCCTCTTTGATTATGCGAAATGCAACAAGTTTGTCTTCTATTTTAAAAAAAATGCTTCGTTCCTATCCTTGGCGTTTATTAAAGAGGAGAATGATAAAAATATGACATTTTTGTGCCATTGTTGATTTTTAACTCCGATAATTGTTAGGGAAAATAAGACGTGCCAGATTTTAAAGTACATCGCTAGAAATTTTAGCAAGCTATGTGATTATCAGATTTTGTGTCAAAATCGTGATGATCAACAGAAGATTCCGCCATAATGCAAATCATGACGATCACGAGGGTTTTACAGCATTATGGCTGAATTCCTAGTCCTACAAATTCTGGCGATTGTGAGAATTGCTTTTCAATATTTTGACGAGCGTGTTTAATTCTGAACGAAAACTATTTTACCAAAACTTTTCTTAACCGAATCAAAATTTTAATAGTGGCCCTAAAAAGATCGATCCGACGTAATATTTAGTTATCAAAGTGATTCTATTTTGCCTCTATGTAACGAAAACAAATAAAGAAAACATTTAGACCCTCCACAAAATTCAAGAGCAAATGCGACATTTTTCTTAGTAGGCGTTTGGACATAAGAATTGTAAAATTCAAAAAAATGGTGAAAAATTTTTCAAATGAAAATAGTATTTGAAATTTAGGCCACGTTTGGCCATGAGTTTTGTCAAAACTCATGTTTGACATAAATTTTGCCGAAATCCCAAATCCCAAAATCAGAGCTGATTTTGGGCCAAATCCCAAAACTTGGGAATTAGATACATGTTTTTCCAAAATAAAATTGGAAAATATGTTTTGAAAACGTATGTCCAAACACATTTTCATCTTCAAACCAAACTTCACCCAAATCAGATTTTTCAAAATTTTTTTTGGATCTATGGCCAAACGCTAGCTTAGAGTTGTGTTTGGACATAAATTTCAGTTTGGGTTGTTTTTGAAGTTTTGTGAGTGATTTGAGTAAAAGTTTTGAAAAATAACTTTTTGCTGTTTCTGAAATTTTCGAAAAGTTCCAAAATACATCTTCAAGTAAAAATTGAAAATTTATGAACAAACGCTAATTTCGAAAAAAAAGTAAAAAAAAAATTGAAAAAATCTTTCATCAAATTTTATGTCCAAACGGGCACTTAATATATTAGAACTCGCCAATTTACTAATAATATTATTAGTCTTTAATATATTTATAAAACTCAGTATAATTTTAGAAGTGGAGTATGTGGAAGTGTAATGTATACAGAGACCTCATCCCTAGCCTGATAGGGTAGAGAAGTTGTTTCTGATAAACCCTCGACTTAAGAATATGAAAAGAGACAATAGAAAAGTAACAACAATAGAGGCCAGAAAGATAGTACCAGCAACCTAAGAATAAAAAAATAGATGGAAAAGCAATATCAATAATCAGTAACAATGGCAAGGTACTACGAAATCGGAGCAAAAAAAGTATGAACACAACATGAATCACTAGCAGTCCAAGACAAGATACTATCAAACTAGCCTTACACCCAATACGGGGTAGAAAAATGCTCAACTACCTCCTAATATTTAACCATAATGGTCGACCACCACACCTTTCTATCAAGGGTCATGTCATCGGTAAGCTGAAGTCGCGTCATGTCCTGCCTAATCACCTCTCCCCAATACTTCTTAGACCGCCCTCTACCTCTTCTCATACCCGCCAAAGTCAACCGCTCACACTTCTTTACTAGAGCATCTATACTTTTTCTTTGCATGTGCCCAAATCATCTAAGTCTCGCTTCCCACATTTTGTCTTCCATGGGTACCACGACTACCTTCACTCAAATATCTTCATTCCTAATCTTATCTAACCTAATGTGCATGCACATCCATCTCAACATCCTCCTCCGTGCTACTTCCATCTTCTGGATATGGAATTCTTGACTAGCCAACATTCTGGCCTGTACAACATGGTCGGTCTAATCACCGCTCTATAGAACTTACCTTTATGTTTTGGTGGCATATTCTTGTTACGCAAGACGCCATATACTAACCACTATTTCATTCATCCCGCCCCTATACGGTGTGTGATATCCTCGTCAATCTTCCCATCCCCCTGGATAACTAACCCAAGATACTTAAAACTTTCTCTCTTGGGATGCCTTGTGAATCAAGCCTCACGTCCATTTCCGATTCCCCCGTCATATCGTTGAACTTACACTCCAAGTATTTTATCTTAGTCCTGCTCAGCTTGAAATCTTTAGACTCAAGGATCTATTTTTAAACCTCCATCCTCTAATTAACACCGCCTCACGTCCTTTCAATCAGAACTATATCATCGGCGAATAATATACATCATGACACCTTTCCTTGAATATGGTGTGTCAGTGCGTCTATTGCTAGGGCAATAAGAATGGGCTGAGCGCAGATCCTTGGTGTAACCCATAACAATTGAAAAATGCTCTGAGTCTCCTCCCATTGTTTTAACTCGAGTTGTAGCTCCATCATACATGTCCTTAATCACTCTAATGTATGCTACTGGAACACCTTTTACCTCCAGGCATCTCCAAAGAACCTTCCTAGGGACCTCGTCATATACTTTCTCTAGGTGAATAAACACCATGTGCAAATCCTTCTTCCTATCACTGTACTGTTCCACCAACCTCCTTATAAGATGGATAGCTCCCATAGTTGAACGACCATGAATGAATCCGAACCGGTTCTTGGATATAACACCGACCTCCTCACCCTCACTTTCACCACCCTCTCCCAAACTTTCATAGTCTGACTAAGCAAATTGATACCCCTATACTCCTATAGCTATTATAATTATGGATATCACCTTTGTTCTTGTACAACGGGATTATCGTACTCCACTTCCATTCATTTGGCATCTTCTTCGTCCTAAAAATAACGTTAAACAACCCAATCAGCTACTCCACGCGAGCGCTACCCACATACCTCCAAATTCTACCGAAATTTCATGTGACCCGGTCGTTCTGCCCTTGCTCATCTTACGCATAGCCTCTATAACCTTAGCCTTATCTACAAAACCTAAAATCTCGGTGACTCTCAAAATGCTCTATTTACCCGGCACAATTTTTGTCCCCCTCTTTATTACGAAGCTTATAAAAGTAAATCTGCCAAACATCAAAAAACATTTTCTAAAAAGATATTTTACATGTAAAATGACTTTCTTCGTACTAGATACAATCTATTATCTTGGTAATATCGCATCTATGGCTTATTTTTAGTCCACTCTCTTAATTTTGTCCTCGTTTTCTCAGCGAGCCCCAATAGTAGATGGATGAATTTTCCTACACACAAATTTAACTTATTGGACTGACGAGGATATAATTTTAATAGTGACATTAGAACGGCCATTTGTACAAATGCCCTGGCATCCAAGGAAGTCGAACCAACCAAGTAAAATAAAAAGGTCGGCCAATTATGATCTAGTTTATACATAGTCAAGAAGTTGTGGTTGAAATTAATCTTATCATCAACTTATATATATGTCTATTTCGTTACCAACTATATATTCAGTAGTAAACTGCTTATTGAGTAAGTTATCAAAAAGCAAAAAATGTTGGGAAAATTTTCAGAGCAAGTAGAAATAAATGCATCAGCAAGTGAAGTGTGGAATCTCTATAGCACTCTTCAATTTCCCAAATTTGTTGTTGAAAAACTCCCTCACATTGTTGAAAAAGTTGAGTTGATTGAAGGCAATGGTGGCTCCGGTTCGGTCCTGGTAGTTAGTAAGTTATTTTACTTCAAAATCCTATTAAAAATCTTCATTTTTATTTTCATTCCATTGATTATTCTTGATTTTTTCCTTTCTTTTTGTAAGTTTCTTATGAGTGGAGGTAGCAGTTTGGTAAAAAGTTACATGTGATGTTTACAATAAACTAATGAATAAATAATATTATATATATATATATATATTTATCATTTAACCATTATTGAAGTTCTGTCTCAGGATTTGAAAGTGGCTGGAACACATCTCCTCTTAGCCCACACCTTCTCTTCTTTCCCCTTCCCCTCCCCTGGCGCAAAGTTACTAATCGGCCAGATTGTGTATGGCTTATTTAAAGGGAAGCACTTCTTATAAGGACTTTTTCTGTTTCTTGGGCTTGAATTTGAGATCTCTAATTAAAAGAGGAGGAATCTCGTCCATCCCACCATATATTACAGTTTTTCCTTTCGATTTTTTTTTTTACCTAGTAATTTGGTAAATTATTTAAGTTTATTGATGATTTTCTGTTTTGTTTGGACCAAATATATTAGGTTTACCCGGTAATGCTCCATATAACGAGAAATTCGTCTCAATCGACGATAAAAAACGAGTGAAGGAAGTCGAGATTATTGAAGGTGGATATCTTGATCTGGGATTCAGTTTCTACGGAATTAAGTTTGAAGTTATAGAAAAGGATGAGAATTTAAGCATAGTGAAAATTACCATTGATTTTGAGACTAAAGATGCTGAAAATATTCATCTTACTATTGGCAATATCCAAGCTCTCGTTGCCATAATGAAAGCCACTGTTGAATATTTCAACCAGAAGAGCAAGTAAATTAATCTTCTTTTATTGGAATCCATGAATCTTCATATTTAATAGTCTTTTTGCATTTTATTATTGCCCTTCAAGTAATGTAATGTACTTTGATGGATACAATAAAACTTTTTGACATTGCAATGAGATGTAACATTCGCAATTCTTAAGATTTTTTTCTTTTATTTAAGACTCGTAAATCAGGCAAGTTTAATTTAAGCTTGACTATAAAGAGAAACCTTAAAGTAGGATTAGAGTTCGATCATTTTTGGAAATACTAATATTCGAGCTCTTCCAAATAAAAGATTTGTAAATTTAAATGTTGGGCTCAAATTTGATTTTAAGCTATGTGTAGTTCTCTCAAATGATTTCTTGAGCTTCGAGTTACCTAAGATTTTGTGTGCCCAGCAGTTCCTGAAGTTTGATTAAGTAAATAGTTAGGGTTAGAGGACTTACTTGCGCGTGGCGTGTGAGCCATATCTTTTTCTGAATGCGGCGGAATTTCTGTGTCAGCGAATGTTGGTTGGTGGATGTGAGATTTTATGGCAGATTTTCTCAGAAATTTCATCGTCTTCCATTCTTGGGAAGGGGATGTGTTTGGTGGTGCACTGATAGTAGCATTAAGAGAAGGTGATGTATTTTACATTGAATTGGACCTGGATGGTGGATGGATTAAGGTAGAACCGGTCTTTTGTAAATGATCGAGTTTACCACAAGCTGTACAAAGGAGATTGATTCCTTCGTATAGTATAATTTGTTTATGGGTGCCAATGAAAATGTGTGATTTCAGTTGTTTTTCTAAGAGTACCTCGACCCAAATTCTTGCATACTGGACTCGTGTAGTTGTCGAGGTACATGTATCAATTTTTAATAGTTTACCTATTTTATTGCCCACTTTTAGAGTATATCTAGGTCGTAAAATTTCGTTGGGAGTTCAGGGAGTCGTACCCAGCTAGTTGAGTATGTGAGCTTTGTTGTGGAGGCTAGGAATTTGGGTTCCCACTTTTTGACAGAAAAAAAATGGTTGAGAATGAACCAAGGCCCGTCGTGTAGGGTCTCAACATGTTTTCCTTCTTCTGAAATTTTAATGGAAAGAAATATGAGCCCAAATCAACTAGGTGTAATTCCTCCGTCGGTTTTCATTGTGCGTAGATCTTTTGTCGTAGTAATTGGTGATCCAATTTACGCCCAAAGACCTTCACTATGCTGAAAATTGCCATGGTGAATAGAGTCTTGATTTGTCTTCATTAGTAGTCGGGGTCGATGGTTGTGTAAGCAGCTAAATTTTATCGAATTTAATTTTATAGAATAATGTGGACTATATTTTAAATATATTAGTCCAAATAAATATTTTGGGCTAATATAATTGGATTAATTATATAAGTCCAATATAATTGGGTTAGCCCATTTAATTGGGCTACAAATGATGAGCCCACTTCATTAAGCCCAAAATGCGATCTTTCTAGAAGCCCAGTTTGGCGCCACATCTCAAATGACATAGCACGCCAAGTCAAACAAAAGAGCCAATGAGATCATGCTACGTGTCAAAATGACAACGCATGTCAAGTCACATTAAAAGGCTAATGAAATCGTGCCACATGTGCAAGTGACATGTTCTGGCCAATCAAATGCGGCATTGTCACACTTCGATTTGATTGGTCAGAAAGAGTTTGTTCTTATCATAATTCTTCCCTCCCACAACTATAAATATGTGTCTTCATAACTCATAAAAGACACCAGAAGTTATAACAAGAAGCAAGAGAGAGCTCGTGGATCAAACGTTGCAGATTTCTCTAAAAGCTACAAGCATTCAAGTGTTCTAAGGATTAAAAGATCAAGACGAAGATTCAAGAACAAGCTGCAAGCCCTTGGATTAAAAAAATACGTCAAGATCAAGATTAGACCTCAAGCACTTGAATTAAAAATAAAATAAAATTCAAGATCAAGCTCAAAGGCCCTTGAATTTTGTATACGGTGAAATAAGAGGGTCCAATTTCTCGTCATCGAGGCGCCTCAGAAGATCATCTCGAAATCTCGAGACTACAAGGCTATGGTCGAGTTCCCTCCCTCGAGGTTCGTCGACACCCGACCTTGGGGCAATGTTGACCATGGTTATGATAGAAATGGGGAGTTCCCAAGGCATGAAGCTAGAGCCGACAAAACATGTCAGGACTAGTCTGAGACTGTACCATAACATTAGCTAAATGTCCCATCTTTATATCTTTGTAATAAATACCTTTTGTACTATGTTGGGATTCCTCTCCTATATAAAGGGGATCCTTGTCATTTTATAAGCTCTCTCTGCTGTTCCAATTGCTCTACACGAAATATAGAAGAACATTCTCTTTGCTCTTAAACATATTCTCTTGATATTATTGCCTTCATTTATTATCTTCATTATTGTTCTTCATTTATTGCTTATCATTGGCCATAAAGAGCCTCCATTGATTTTAGTATAACTGTTAGCCATATCTCGATTACCTTCGATAGCTCCCAGTCGGGCTCCAGAATCGACCCCGAGGCCTTGAATCGACAAGATCGAGGCCTCGATAATTGACCCATCGATTTGCTTATCACTTTTTCATTTACTCTTATTTCGCCTCTAAGTCTCACATACATAGCATCAACTGCTTAACAAACTAGCATAAAAATAGATCACGTATTTTTAGAATCGCATAATCAAATTTAATTGTTATTATCATTTTCACGGTAAACAGTTTGGCGCCCACCGTGGGGCTAAAAATAATAGTGATTATTTTCTTGCTGGTTTTACTACACAATGCAAGTTATCTTTCACGCTTTTTATTGTCCAAGATCTTTGATTTCAGGTCTGAATGTCTAACTCAGTGAATGGAGGTGAAAACGACAATCTTGAGGACCACGGAGAAAATGGTGTAGTTGTTCCAGGTGTTGGTGTGCCACCACGAAACCCCGGGGATGCACCGGACCCAATTCCTGTGGGCACGGTCTCACGCGATGCTTAACACATCGACATAAGCTCGCACACCAACAGGAGTGGGCACCAAGGAGGTCAACAAGAAGCTCAGAAAACCCCAACTAGGGAAGAACGAGAGGTTAGTCTTCATGTTATTTTTGAAATATTGCAGGCACAACAGCTGGCTATCGCCCAGCTGCAAAGTCACCAGAAAACTCCTAGCACGGTAGAATTGGGGACAGCTCCCCCAACCGAATAGGTACCGGAGAGATCGAGCAATAATGGGTCGATGACCAATCCCGTCGTCGTAAAAATGCTCGAGGACCTCACCAGAAGGATCGAATCGGGCGAGAAAATAATAGAAGCCAATGACAAGAAGGTCGAAACCTGCAACTCCAGGGTCAACCAAATTCCAGGAGCGCCCCCGGTCCTGAAAGGTGTGGATTAGAAGAAGTTCATACAAAGGCCGTTCCTAGAGGAAGCGGCCCCAAAACACATTCCAAAGAAGTTCAAAATACCAGAACTCCCAAAATACAATGGGACCTCAGACCCCAAAGAGCAGTTGTTGCTTACACTTGCGTGGTGAAGGGCAACGACATAAAAGATGACAAGATCGAGTCCGTCCTATTAAAGAAGTTCGGGTAAACGCTCTCGAAGGGGGACATGATGTGGTACCACAACCTCGCTCCTAACTCCATAGAATCATTTTTCATGTTGTCAGACTCCTTCATAAAGGCACATGCCAGTGCCATCAAAGTAGCAATAAGAAAATCTGACGTGTTAAAAATCAAGCAGAGGGAGAACGAAATGCTACGAGAGTTTGTATCTTGCTTCAAAGCAGAACGAATGGAACTACCACTGGTCTCCAATAACTGAGCAGTGCAGGCCTTCACTCAAGGTCTGAATGAACGGAGCTCGATGGCTTCAAAGCAGTTGAAACAGAACTTGGTCGAGTATCCCGCTGTGACCTGGTCGGACGTCCACAACCGATACCAGTCAAAGATCAGGGTCGAAGACGACCAGCTAGGATCCCCCTCGGGCTCAGTGTACCCAAGTAGGCTTCTGGCGAAAGAGCCAAAGCCAAACAAAGAAAGATATCAGCCGTACACCGATGACAGAAGGAACGCCCCGAGGCGCAACCCACCCCGCAACGATCGAAGGATAGATCGAGGACAGAATCCTCAGGGACTTATCAACAGAGCGGGGTTCGATAGCAACGTAGGGCCCACGGAGGCACCTCACTTATCAGAATACAACTTCAACGTCGATGTGCTAGACATCGTGTTCGCCATCAGCAAAATCATAGATGCCAGATGGCCCAGGCCTGTGCAATCGGATCCCTCACAAAGAAACCATAACTTAGTGTGTGAGTTCCACAACACGCATGGCCACAGGACCGAGGATTGCCGGCAACTCTACGAGGAGGTGGCCCGATTGCTCGACAATGGTCACCTTCAGGAATTCCTCAGCGACCGAGCCAAAAATCAGTTTCGAGAAAGGGAAACAATCAAAAAGAATAAAGTGGACGAGCCGCAACATGTCCTCCATGTGATCTTTTGGTGCAACCACGAGACACCCCCTCGGCTGTATCCGAAAAAAGGACCGTACTGCGCCCTCCAAACGAATACCAAAGTTCAAAAGCACCATTACCACTGAGGTATAACCATCTCCCCTTTTCATTTTATATTTAATGATAACCTTTGTGCAGGCGACCAACCAAGGCAGCGAAAGCACCAATCGAACCCGAAGACCTTAAGGTTTTAATCATCTATTGCACTCTTTTCCTTTGACCGAGTTTTTATCCTGAGAAGGGTTTTTACCGGCAAGGTTTTTAATGAGGCAACATCCACATGCTACCTAAGGAAGACTTAACAAGTATTCAAGGTTTCTTTTGCAATCAACCTCGAACACTGAGGGGCATCCCCCCCGGAAAGTCGTCCACTCGGAAAAGCTAAGAAATGTCAAATGGGGTCCCAATAGAAAATGATGTACCGGGCCAAACGATCGAACAAACTGTGTCCATATGGCTGGGCCCCCCGACGGTGAAAACATGTACGCTTGTACAAAATAATTGAAGAATATCTTTTATCAAAGCATCTCGCACTCCAAAAGAATCTCGGCACCTCTGCAAAAATGACTTATCTACTGAAAACGTCTCAAACACTCGGGGACTGGCATCAACAATTCGGCACCTGAACGACCTCCGGGTCAGGGGCTCCAAACTTATAAACCCTC